CTTTCTCGATGTGTATCCTCTTGGCTTCGTGCCCCATGTCATGAGTGGCAACATCACCTTCCTTGGGCCCCGGCAGGACATTGGGAGACAATCCTAGAAGAGCCTGGTTCATCGAGAGTCCGTTCTGATGCACAGCTGTTTGTTTTTTTAGAGATAATAAATAGAGACTGTATCACATGAATAGTTCAGTAATTATATATCCTGACATTAGACAGTCACACAAGAACAACGTCGACCCTAACCCTCACCTTCGATTTAATCCAATTCCGGGTGTTTCTCTAATACGCACGAATAGTGACGCCACACAGGGGTCAGCTACAGTGACTGTCAAGGTGAAAGCTGCACATTTTGCTCTTGAGGCTGACAGTCAAGGTACAGTATATATCTCTGGTGTCATTTATAATTACTGCTTCCTGAACATATTCTGTTCTCATGCAGCCTAGATGTAGTTAAAAAAAACACCTTTGATGCCTCCCAAAACAACATGAAGTTTGATGTATTTTACACAGTCAATCACTGGTACCAGAATAACTTATATTATAAGAAAACACAAACAGCTAATTTGTCAGAAACATTGTTATTTATGGATATTTTTAATTATTTCGTATGGGATTTTCAGAAATGGTAAAAGCTCCTCCTCTAGAGTTTTGAGATGGAAAGACCATAAGCTAAAAATATCTCATTTTCCCCTTCCTAATTCCCATTTTGTGATTCCTCTTGTAAAACCTCAAGCCTTAAATATTCAGCCTTAAGTCCTTAGGCTTAAATGTATTGTATTTAGGAACTTAGACAATTAATAGAGTTTTAATAAATTATACTATTTGCTTTGTTCTCTAGTATTCTCTTTTAGAATTTAAAAATATATGACAGTGCGCTATTTAAATGTGAGTTTCACAGAATGGAGTCAGGGTACATATTACTAGATCCTCCATTAATTCTATTCTATGTTTAAAAAAACAATAAAAATGGAGAAAAAAAATTGCAAAACACAGGTGGGTGCTGCACATTGGTGGTGGAGGGGAGTCCCCATTGCCTGTAAAGCGCTTTGAGTGGAGTGTCCAGAAAAGCGCTATATAAATGTAAGCAATTATTATTATTATTACTATTGGGATGGATGAATGGTGCAGTTCTGTAAGTAAATTGAACATCCTTCAGCTGAAAGCATCCCTACAGGTGAGACCGGGGGACTTACGGATTCTGTCTGAGGAGCTTTCAGTCCGGGCTGGAGAGCTCGATACGCTGCTGCTCCGGTGGGAGGAAGCATGGCTCCCGGGTCTCCTTCCATCTTCAAGGGAAGGGGCAGGAGAGGGGCTGTCCGGCACACGTTCCTGCCGCAAAGATCACACGAGCTGTGTCATTGTGCCTGTCTAAACCACACCGGAACACATGGAGCTGATCTATGTATTTTTTCTGATTCCCGTTTCTCCTGGTTTGTAAGGATTCAGGGCCAAGAGAGAGGCACAAAAAGACGACTGCAGTACTAAAAGAAAATAATAATACCAATGCTAATACTAAAAGAAAAAAAAATGAAGAACGAAGCAAGACTTCGCTGAGATAAAAGGGGAAATATTTAAATAATGAGGAGTCTGACGTAATTAATGGATATTTCACTCAGGTGTTCACCAAGAAAGACATCATCAACGTGCCTCGGGCTGAGGAAGACGAAGTTCTTATATTAAAAACGTATTAGCATTGAAGAGGCAGAAGTATTACAGGTACTAGACGTGCTTAAGATAAACACATCTCCAGGGCCTGATGGTCTTCTACCCATTTAACTTAAGGAAACCAGAGATGTGATTCATAGGCCTTTAGCAAAACTCTTCACACAGACACTGAAACAGACAGGGAACACTCATTATCTGGACAATTACTAATGTAGTACCTGTTAGTAAAAAGCATTACAAAACTCAGTAATTACTTCTACTACATTCAAGGTGAGAGGAATACCAGCTTGAACTAAACTAGATGATCTTCTTTTGGACATAAGATTCTGGGGGATAGCCAGACTGGATTTATAAATGATACTGTAACTGTTGCTTAAGTAACTTGAGTTATCTAAACAGGCAATAACAGCAGGCAATGCAAACTGAGCATACTGTACTGTATATTTATATTTTAAGAAAGACTTTTGTTAAAACTCAACATAAAAAAGAATAATTGCCAAATGCAGGTGGTAAGCATTGAAGAAAATAAATGCATTTGGAATAATGGATGTGAAACATAGTTACTATAAGTGGTTAACATTCGGACTATAGTGATGTAATTGGTGGTGTATCACAGGGATCTGTATTTGGAGCCCTACTATTTCTGATATATATCAAAGGTAAATCAAAGATTTGAACAGACTGGGCAAACACTTTTAAGTTAAAAAATTTATTATAAATGTAATTATTAATTATTTAAAGTGCAGACTCGTATATGCAAGTGGCAGAAACATAAACTATAAATATGAAATGTATTTATTTTATATTTATTTTGCATAATTTTTCATCTATCCTGATTGACTGCTGTAACACATCAATTTCCCTTTGGGATCAATAAAGTCTTATCTATCTATCTAAATATCAAACACCAAGGAAAAAGCTACATATAAAAACAACTTGTTTAGGTGGGCACATTATTTTGATCAGGTAGACAATGTGGAAAAGCAATAAAAAGGCAATAAGGCAATAAAAGAAAGAAGACATACATAAGGTATGTCGTAATATACTATATAAACAGTGTTTAAAATGTAAAATCTAAATACAGAGATGGTATGTTGAAATTGTTCAAATCAATAGTAAGACCTGTAGAACACATATTGTGTGCACCCTTTACTGCCACAATACTAAAGGATACTACTGTTCTGGAATCAGTCTAGATTAAACTCTTGTTTTATTTTCAAAGAGACCTCTGTGAGGGGACTTGATTCAAGTACTCAAAATTCCCAAAGGCAATGAGAAAGTCAACACAGCAGACCTCTTCTGAATGAACAGATTAAATTTAAAAAATGGGGGGAAAAGGTGGAATTCACTTGCACTTGCTTTTGAGCATCACCAGTGTTTACAAATACACAAAACAAGGCCAATAGCGTTTGTATGATGTAATCACAGATTTATAAGCTGGCACCATAAAATCGTTAAAATAGCAGTGTGCCAACTTTCAAATCCATCTGGATATTAATTTTGATTGAGCTGATGTGTCCAAATGGTTGGGAACAGATGTTTATTCCTCTCTACAAAATAAATTGTCAGTTTTTAAGAGTATTTATGTGCAAACACATACTTTCTTTCCACATGATGCCTTGACTGAAAGAAGTATAGGGCTATATGGAAAAAAAAAACATCAGAAGAATCATTTGGTGGCTTAAATAATTTTTTGACTACAAAGACATTTGTAAATTATTTGACTTTTAATACCATGCATCTTTTATTTCCATATTTAGGCGATTTCCTTCATCTGAAATAGAATTCTTTAGTTCCAGCCTTGAATGACAAAAACAACTGGCAGCCCACTGGAAGCTCAGCAGGTGTGAGCCTGGTCAGTACCTGGATGAGAGACCACCTGGGAAAAACTAAGCTTGCTGCTGGAAGAGTTGTTAGTGGGGCCAGCAGGGGGCGCTTACCCTGCGGTCTGTGTGGGTCCTAATATCAGGGGTCCTCATGACGGGGACAATATACTGTACAAAAGGCACCGTCCTTAATATAAGACATAAAACCAAGGTCCTGACTCTCTGTGGTAATTAAAAATTCCAGGGCATTTCTCGAAAAGAGTAGGGGTATAACCCCGGCATCCTGACCAAATTTCCCATTGGCCTTTACCCATCCTGGCCTCCTAATAATCTACATCTATGAATTGGCTTAATCACTCTGCTCTCCTCACCACTGATAGCTGATGTATGGGGAGCATACTGGCGCACCATGGCTGCCGTCGCATCATCCAGGTGGGGCTGCACACTGGTGGTGGTGGAAGGGAGTCCCCATTACCTGTAAAGTGCTTTGAGTGGAGAGTCCAGAAAAGCGCTATATACAGTAAGTGTAAGCAATTATTATTAATTATTATTAACATGTGTGGACAAAGATTAAAAAGTCACCAACAGACTAAGCCCTCTGCAAACCACAACCGTCTCCCTCATAACTATTTGGAGCTGCTGCTACCTGGAACCCAGTTCCTAGACCTCACAACCCCTTCGCTGCTGCGTACATTAACGAGAACAAAGCAAGGAAAAGGACCTTATATTACTCCCCCATCCCCTTGATATAACCGACATGAAACACGCTGTGCCTTTCCATAAGAGAAAGCATTAGTATGCACATTTTTGTTTGAGTAGTGAAGTACCTATACAATCATCAGTATCTATACAAAGTAACTTGCAGCAATACTTCTTTTAAAAATGTGGATTTCCACTCTGAAATGTGGTAGGTACTATAAGTTGCAAAGTCGGTAACAGTGTAGTAGTTTATTTTAAACTACTTGCTATATCTATGTGTGAGGAACACATTTTGAGTTGAATTTTTTTTTTCTGTAGAAGGACACAGAGATTTTACAGGCAGGTACACAATTTAAAAAAGGTTTTGTTAATTAGCTACTAAACATGTTAACAGACCTTTTGTCCAGGAAGATAGATTATTTTAAGAGTGGCCACATGAAAGCTTTATGAAAGGCAGACTGTTATTTTGTAATGCAAACTATTCACATTAAAATAGTATCTGCATATTGTGCAAATTAGAAGAAAAAATAGCAATAAATAACAAACTGGAAGTGCACACATGATTTATTCTAAATACAAGGCTAGCTTATATGTTTTACCCAACCTTTGATATATATTTGGTTTGAAATCACTTTCACTTCATTGATTTAATTAATAAAACAACGCTACTGTTTGATAAAACACCTTGCTCCATTTAGAACACCAGCAACATAGCAGTAGCAATAATGAAGTAATTTCTTTTTTCCCCGTTATAAGATAATTAAACACGATTGTTAGCAAGCTAGCATCGCATTACATCCTATAACTGTGGAATGTGAAGACATGGCAGGTTAATCTCACTGAAGGGAGACACTGAAGCTGCCGGATTTTTTCAAATGTACAAGGTCATTATGATTTAAAAAATCAGCAATTTTTATTAATCATTACAGTAACTAGAGCGTTTTCATGAAATGCTTTCATGACGATTACACTGTTAATCTTATAATTTAGATAGTATGGATTTTCCTGCACTAATAACGCATGGAAAATGTATGCTTTGAAGCTTAAATGTGCGCCATTATACTTAACTTTACGCTGGATCCTGACTTTGATGATTCTAAATATGGACTGCCTTTGGCTGCGGTCTTCATTGTTACCTTTATAACAGATGTCTCCACTCTGGAGGGGCAACTCTGGACCTGGGCAGCGGCGGCCATGTTTGCGATGGTGCTGAGGTGATTCATTTGACTCATTGCCATGGTAACCGAAGCAGGAGGTAGACTGACTGGAATCAGGGGGTGGGGCATCATCATGAAAGGGAGCTCCAAGCCTAAAAACCGGATACAACAGGTTAAGGCATCATGTGACAGCCTGTGCTGTACAACACAAACACACACGTAAGTACAAATTTCATCTAACAAGATTTTTGTTTTAAGGACGTCGTAGTTCTTTCACATGTATGCAGTTACAGGCAAGCTAAATTTGTTAACTTGGATGTTTCAAATATTACAAACACTTTAACTTGCCAAATTAGCTCTCGATCACATTTCCCTAAATAACTTTCATTATACTAAAGTGATATTTTTAATTATCCAAAGGACTTGTTGCATAAAAACAGCTTTATATTACTCGAGTGAAATGATTAGCTATAGTTAGATGTTTGCTGTTTTTTTAAGTAACACATCTATGAATTAGACTTTTTTTGAATATGAAAAGCAACAAATGTGAAAGCATTTTTATGGTTGGAATTTTTCATCTGCAAGGTACTAATGAAAACCATGTAAACATACTGAAACAGTTTTTAAGTTACAGAAGACTTCCGAATCCTGAAAACTGAATCATACAGCACACTCATACCAAATGAGTAAACAAAAGCACAGGATGTAGGCGGCAGTAAGAAGCTGGAGGGCTACAGTTTTATTGGAAATCCATTACATAAAACATGGAACAGCAGGCAAAAAACGTCTCATTAACTCACAAAATTAAAAAAATGAGAATTGTTAACATTTTCAAATATTCTGACACAGAACTTCATTAAACGATAAGGAAAACAATACTATTTAGCATTGCAGGCCTATTATTCATAATTTTTATAGACTCCGTGTTTAACACAACCAAAATGAACAATTTCATTTTGTATCCCAGAGGCCTCCTCCAAAAGCCTCACATGCCAGTTCTCACAGACAGCACTGATGTAACTCCTGAGGATACAGGCATAGGAGAGAACTGCAGAGCACAGTTCTGGTTCGACTATAGTACAATCAACCCCCTTTTTATAACAACTACTGCAATTTTAAATAAACTGGCAATAGATTTACAGTATATAATAAACTCTTAAATAACATATAACTCAGAAGTGACAACATTGTCTTCAGTTACAATAGCAAAAACTGTATCGTGAACAACAAGGACCATAGCAACGAATGGAATCAACGAATGGAATCATTATCGAAAGATTCGCAGAACGGTTACTGTTTTTTTCTAAGCTTTTTTTATTAGGAGAGGGAGGGTTACATATTTAAAAAATGGCCAAAGGTCTACAGAAGACTACTGAAGACCTTCAATTTCTTGACTACATTACATGTGTTTTTTTTCCTCTTACCATTGGGTAGAAGGTGGTTCTGCTGGAGAGGATTAAGGGGGTGACTAACTGAAAGGTTATGCTGTCCAGGTAGGCTGGGGTGAGTAACTGAGGCCTGTGATCCTTGGACATTGGGAGACTGGAGTTTCTCTTTATCCCAGGAAACATCACTGCTACCTGAAGAGAGATTTACCAATGAAGTCCATTAGGATGTGTGAGTAATGCAGGCCTTCCTTTGCCTTGTGCAGTGCTCAGTGCCATGCATAACACTAGGGTACTGAATTCAAACTTTAATCCCATAAGGAAAACTACTTCTGGATTAAAATGTTAATCATGGTCAAACAGGATCTCAGGATCCATAAAGCACCAAACCCAAACATTTTCAAAAAAACATGTTTACGTTTATAGTAAACTGTGAGCAGAATGTCATGTGATTTTTTAGTGAAAAAAGAAAGACAAGAAAAATGAATGCACTGAACCAGGACAGCACTTTATGCAGCAAGGACTACGGGTACAGTATATAAAGTATAAGCACTGGATTCCTGATCCTGGTTTACTAGTGGCTCGAGTTCTTACACAGACTAGTTTCAGTTTCTCTGTAATCTACCTGAAAACTAAAGATAACCTTTACACAAAGAGAGTTCTAAATCTCAAACAACCTGAACATCAATAATCAATGGTCATAAAGCTAACGAGTTTTTAAAGCATGTAAATACAAGATGGATAGTGTTTTGGCAAATTATGAATGCACAGATTAAAAAGTGATAATGGATTTGTCAAGATAATTTGCCTAATCTTTTCTTTTTAACTACAATAGACTTGCATTCATTATAAGTGCGAAAATAAAATAAACAAAAGGGTTCAAACTGAAACTAATTGATACTACGTTTGGAACAGTTTCACTACTTTATAATTGAAACCCACTTGTAAAAGAAAATCCAAGGTGTTACCTTGAACTGTGTATGACAGAAAAACAATAAAAGCTTTTCCATCGTGGAATGCAGAGAACTTTATATTTTCTTTGCAGCCTCAACTTTTTTGTGACACAGTTAATATAGCAAAAAATACATGAAATATTTTAAGTCCAAAGTTTCATAATCTTGAAAGATGCATTAATTAAGCTGTAAGGAATAACATAACAAATTATGCTAATCAGTTAATTATAAATAATTAATGTGTTGAAAATAATCATGTAAAAGTAAGCCAATTATAAATGCAATTACCCAGATGACTAGTTAAAGTCTACCATAGACCAACATTAAGATCATCAGATGAAAACAGCTACAAGCCAATTAACAATACTTGGGACTAATTCACCAATGTCCTACTTTTTTATAATCTGAAATGTCATTTCATGCATATGAGGGTTGCTCCATAAGGTTTATGACAATTACTAAAGGAAATACTGGAGGCCAAGACGCAACACTACAGCACTTGTCGTCCACGTCACATGAGCCCTCAAAACAGCTGGTTCACAGTATTCTAGTTTGCTTGATTCTGCTTCTAGAGCCCAATCTTCTGGGTGGATCAGTTGCTCTGTGGCTAAGAATCTGCGCCTGTGGCTGGAAGGTTGCTGGTTCAAATCCCACAGCTGGCAGAGGAATCCTCCTCTGTCGGCCCTCTGAGCAAGGCCCTTAACCCCAACTGCTTCAGGGGGTGCTGACCCTGCGCTCTGACCCCCAAGCTTCTCTCTCCCTGTCTGTGTGTCTGTGTCTCATGGAGAGCAAGCTGGGGTATGTGAAAAGACACATTCCTAATGCAAGAAATTGTATAGGGCTAATAAAGTGATGTTATGTCCTGAATAGGAGCCTGAATGACGGCACAAGCCAAGAATAAAGAAACACACTTTCATCATCGAATGTCAGTTGTAAGTACATTCTATACTGGCACTTGTTCAGTGCCTGTCAGCATTAAAATGGTAATGAAAATGTCATGTTTTTTTTCAGCATTCATGATGGCCTAGCTGCGCATGACAAAACTCAGGTAAGACACCTAACAATTCGAAATATTAGGACTTGAGCAAGATTCCATGCGAGTCAATAAATCGCTACATTTTAACTAACCTTACGGTTTATTTTTGCTCAGGCTCAGAACAAGTGATTCCCTTGTATAGATAGGGCTCTCTATGCAAACACTCAATGGAGGAAGTTCTACATTTACATGCTTCAGTCAAATAACATACACATAGACTTACCATTATAATATTGATTAACTGTGGCAAATTATAATTGTAATAAACACAACTGATCAATGAAGAAACGGCTGAAAATCAACTAAGAAATAGCACCACCTTTCAATTTATTTTCTTACGTGTATCACACATTCTTTTTTTCACCTGAAACCATGTCCAATTTTCATATTATCATCACCATTTGTCCTCAGTCAAGAAGTGTACAGATACTGAACATTCTTGAGGCTTGTTAAAACAAAACACACAAGAGTGCTTATAAACAGACATACCTTTGATACTGTAAAGTAACAAACCTACAGCATACATTCCTGAGCATTATAAATGATGATTTACTACATACTTGGGAGAAAAGATATGTGTGGCAAATAATTATTCTGATCAACAGAATATATCATGTAAAGCAATTTCATAAACTGAACAACCATTGAGGCATTTTTGCATATTAAAATAAGGTTACAGAATTACCTTCTGGAGGCAGAAAGGTCTGCATAGTCCTTTGTTAAAAAAGAATGTCAAAATTTTATGCATTATTGTATTTCAAGACTAGGTTTTGGTACTCTTCTAAACTATCCAAGTTATTAAACTATGAAAGTCAGCTCTATATGTCTTTCTTAATCCAAATGTTTATTTTTTCATATTGAACACTATCAAAGCCTTTGTTACATGAATATTGTTAGATCTGTGATAAGTCAGATACAACATGTTTGACTTTTTTTAGAATCATAGAATTGTAAATTTTATAAGTATACTGTACAGACACATGTGAAATACACACATGGTACATGAAATAAAGTGGATGTAATTTTAAGCATTTTGGCGTCATTATGAATACATAATTTTGCCCTTCATGTATTATAAATCACTTTCTCTTGTATGGAAAAATCAATAATACATTAATTGTACTTATGTTTATCTTTAGATTTGGCAAAAAATGCTAAATTAATTTGGCATTTCTAATGAAATAATTACACACTGCGGGCATATTCATCTGAATTAGCACTCCTACTTAAAACAAATTAGAATGAGAGTTTCAGGTATACTATGATTTAATTTAGCAACAAATGTCCAACAGTGAGTTCAGGAATGCTCTCTTTATTGTTAGGATTTAGGATTCAGCTAAACTATATTCACTCTCAGTGTTTAACAGTTCCTTTCCACTTCCAATTGCCATCTTCATCGCTATCATTACTACTCAGTCATACCTAAAATATAAAAGCTAGAGTGAGCACATGTTCCTTGCTAAAACAGTTTTCAATTATTTATATTTGTTTTGGAATATAATATTGTATGGTGGGAATCTCTGGGGCAAGGACAGTTATTGCTTTATTTTATTTTTTAAGTATGTCATTTTTCACATTCTTCCATGTGACTATCACCAGCAGTGTGTCCTCCCAACAATTTATGGGAAATTATAAAAAATAATATTATGAAGAACTCAAATACACTAAGGCACTGGTGCAGATGTTTCTCCAGGGAATCCCTTTAGAATGAGATTAAGTGGTTGGAAATAAACTGGTCTATTTTACTATTTTACTCCCCTTTTGAAGTAGAGTGACACAGCAACAGGGTTACTGCTAAGTGCACTGCAGGCTTGTACTGTAGCTACAGTCACAAACTGGACTGACTTTGAGCTGGCAAGACATTAAAAGGGTCCAGAAACATTTCATTCTGCAGCACTCACTCTCTTCCTTAAAGGCTTTACTTAACTGCTTAAAAAGGAAACTTCATCTTCAGTCTTGAAATTGATTGTGCCCCATGTTTTTTGGTCAGCTAAAAGAGAAACTCTGTGCCTTGAGTGTTGATCCACAAAACAATTTAACTTTGCTTTTGAACAAAATATCAGCGGATAAAGGGGCACAGGGATCTGAATGCCAGGCCTTTAAAAAAGGATCGCTGCAGTGTTTGAAAAAGAGAAGTACAAGCTCCCCCTCTCTCTTTCTCTCCCTGGAAAAAGATTGATTTCCATAAGAAAGCTAGCACGCAGATCAACAGAAGAACAAATTCAGAAACAGAATACCGCAAGAAAAGAGAAGAGTAGATTAAAGCGGAAGAAGGCAAGCACCACCTTGTTATTGCCGCTCTTGTAGAACAGTGATTCCGTATCAATTACAACTCACTCGGCTGGACTCAATTAAAAGCTCACACAGAAGCTGTGTGATTGCAGAATACTTACCCCACCACAAGGAACAAATTGAGTGAGTCATTCTTGCACACATCTACCTTTCAAAGACACACAAAAGCCAGACTGAGTGATATCCAGCCTTTGAGAGAGAAACACAAAGAGCCTCTGACTGGTTTGCAGGAAACCAACACACACAAGAAAAATCCCTATTAAAGACACTGATATGAATTTCCCTTTGTCATTTAAATGGCTGTCCTTTATCATTCTTTGCCATGAATGTTGTCTCCAATGTAAACTGACTTGCTCTTTGCAGGATGCTATTTAACTATCAGCACTCTGCATCAATGAATTTATACTCCAGGCTTGTTCAGCTGGGAATGAAATTTTCAAAATGGTAAAGTGGGAGATTAAAAAAACAAAAACAAAAAACTGAAAGGCTATACTTAGTGGAAAATTACCAATAAGTAGTAGTAATAACTGACAAAAATTACAAAAAGATAAAATTACTCCTTAAAAACGTGCTCCACTTTAAGCACATCTGTCCTGTTCTTACAAATATCTGCACATAGTGTTGTTTGTAGGGTACCTAGAAAATCAGCTGAGCTATCATCATCGTAATTAATAATAAATAAAATACTATACTAAGGTAAATAAATGCTTTATCACCTCATGGGCCTCCTTAAATATCCAAGACACTCATTCTTTGCTTTATTTCACATTAAAGACCATTTTTAATCCAATACAGTACATGTACTGTATGTGTAAGCATACAGGCATATCCTTTCATTATATTTATGAGACAGAATTGCAGAATAACAAATTAGAATAATATTAAATGACCTCCAGACCAGTCCTTAACAGGCC